AGACGGCAATCTGATTGGTTCATTCCCGTCATCAGTGTTCCTGTATTGTCCATTGCGAAAGAATCTAAGCCGTCCGCAAACCTATAAATATGTAGTACGGTTCTTCATTAGTCAACGAACTTTTCACTAACACTTCCAGTAAAAGCGTGCACTGATTACATTAGTCTTTGCACTGAAATCGTTGAGAATGCAGCGTGGGACAAGATTCGGTGATAGTCTGGTAGATACAACAGCGATACACAATGGGAAAGTAATCAACAGGAGTAAGAACGAAGTCCCTGAAATGAGTCACACAGACGAGATAATGTTCAAGATAAACAGAAACGAACGAAGCGATCACCAGAGCTGGGCAGAAAATATGTAATAGACCCAATCACAGAGCTATCGATCTGAAATATCGAATCAACTCAGCATGAATAGCACAAGAAAGAAGGGGAGCACCACGCACCAGTGTCCGACTGGCTTACTGTGTGATTGAGAATGGCCTTGTGTCACTTACTCGAGTTTAAGTTAGACCAGTATACTTCAGAATAGCATATGCTTGGTTTGTGAAGAAATGCTCAGAGCGATTAGATAGAGTAAATGTAGCCCGCCTTCTAGACTGAGGTACAAAGGACTACAACTGGTTGGTCGGACACACCGAAGGCTATGATAGCCAACCGACAACAGTAGCATTCTTGTTGTCACCTCTTATCAGATCAGAATACCGGAAAAGCTATGCATGCACCGTTGTGTTATGTACTCTGTGCGTTGTCCATCGGGGGGGGCACCTTTTGCTTCTTCCCAAGCACGCCCAATCACTGTCCATCTTGTACATTGTGAGCTTGACAGCGATAAGTGAAGCTTGCTTCAGAGTTTTACGCTGCATGATGATACTGTTTAGTAAATTCGGTTGTACTCAAGCACCAGGTACTGTTGATGATCTTGGGTTCGGATTTCACTCCTTGCGCGATCGCTGATTCCCAACGCTACATGATTAATTGAGGATTTCATTCAATTTCAAGAAGGGAATTCGTCCTGTATATAGCACATGAAGCGTGAACTGATAAGCTAGGGACCACTGTACAGCCTGTATAACCTGGCTGGGTCTCATCAGCAGTGCACATTCATTGACCAAACTGGGGATCGAACCCGGGACCTCACGGGCAAAACGCAAGCATCCTACCCACTCGGCTATATCGTGCAAATGGAAAATGAAAAATGGTCTAAACAGCTGTCTGGAGGCATGCAGATAAGTTAGCACCGTTGGTTATAGGAAAATTTCAAACTCCACGATGTCTCCGAGGTAGACAGAAAACGGCTTTCCTGCAGGTGTAATTCTTCTAAGAACCCATGGATGACTTCTGCGTGATTTCACAGTTGGCTGTCAGACGTCAACCGCAAGATGTTTATTNATTCCCCGATGTCAAATTAGTAAGGCCGCCTTCGGACTGTTCTTCAATGTTACAACCAATGGATCAGGCAGTGACTTGGTTATTCAAATGTTCGTTACGGAAACATTTACTGGAATATGTTTTGTCTTTGATTGAAGATGAGTAACTAAGCATGAAATCCGAAGTGGACATCTTTATGAGCTTGAATCTGGTCAAGAAAGCTTGGGTGTCTGTGCACCGGCACGTACTGACCAACGCTTTCAAAAAATTTGGGTTCAAACCAACATTGAATCAGCCGAGGATGCAGCCGCCAGAGGATAAATGAGCTCTGATTGAAGACTTTACTGACTATGTGTCTATTGGTAAACGACTTGTTGAAGAGGAATACACCTGCTTAGAATTTGATGATGAAGAGATGGAGTATTTCAAATTTTTGCATCAAGTCTCCCTTTTAGTCATTCGACGAATTTCGGGTCGATTATTGAATTGTACGATTGATCGAAACAGCGCATTTGTTGATTTCCAAAGGTTAGCCAAACTGGAAAAACGATGACTTATGGTTGCTAAAGTTACATTTTTGTGAGCAGCAAAGGATTCTGCAAATCTCTGGGGCCTTCGAATGTGGTCAGTTTTTGTTGCAGCGGTCACCAAAGCCACGGTCATTGGGTCTATCGATGGTCTCTGGTGCACTTAAGTGAAAACGGGTGAACGACAATCGCGACTGACTGGTTAGCAGGCGAGCAGCGATGAACGCCGCCCTCACCTGTGTGAATGAATGAATGATAGTCGCACTTGAAAAGAGAAGCCAGTATAGTAACATTGCACGATTTGTCCTGGACGATCTCACTGCATCTCAACTGGGGCCTACTGCAGACAAATACGATGTTTGTATAGGGTTCGGAAATTTTGGATTACAAAATAAACACTTGCAAATGGGGGAAGCGTCACCAAGGTGATGAACAAGTCTTTTTGTTGACATAGAATTGAGTTCTATCGGTTGATTGCAATCATCTAGGCGATCTTGAGCATTATGGTGTTAATTGCACTTGTCCTTGCCAGAGCAGCGATGGAATTAGACAGGGCATTGATCCAAGGTCATCGTAATCCTGGTATGACGAGCCCCTGACTGTTTGAGCGATGCACTTTACGATTTGTGAATCGCTTGTTGAACTTAACACGTCACTTATGTTTACCGACACTTTCCATGACGAATGTATCAATCGGTTTGAACATACACTGGCAAGAACAAAAGCCAACGAATGAATAGATGCCGACAGAGTTAATGCTACATATTTTTCACCAGAAAATCATGAACAGATTGCGCGACGAATAATCAGTTTGGAATACGAGAAATAATTCTATGTACTGGGTATATTCCGTAACAGATATTTCAGTTATTTCAGATTACATGATTTCCTGCGAATGCGATTTCTTGTCCCGTATTCTCACCATGTTCGACCTGCTTCATTCCTATTTTCATCGACTGGGTTGATATTGAGGTTATCATTATTATAGCTACAACAGTTGCATCTTATGGTGGACGCCATATACTCAGTTCTGTGGTTGGTCTAACACTGCAAAGGAATGGGAGAATATCTGGAATTAATATGCAATTATTGCGTTGGAGAAATTCCTCTGAAGAAAGGTAGGCAGCTTCGAGATAATCAGGCACTTGAAACTGAAAAAGGGCTGAATACCGGATGTAGTGTACTAATATTAAACTGAGGATATCATAGAAGATTTCGGTTTCTTCGATACAAAAAGGATAAGCAAGACGGTATTTCTAAATTTCATTATAAGTAAACAGTACATAATTATAAACATTGGGATCAAGTAACAGAATTAGCGTACATTTTATCGATCCAGTTTATTTTGTCACAAAACTCTCAACCGATTTTTCATTCTACCTAATACATCTACACAGTCGCAGTTCCCGGAGTTTACCCCCTTTTTCGAATACCCGAGGGATGCGAAATAGCAGGAGATTGACTGTATGTTCAAAGCCAAATGCCACTTTTGCCATAAGCCCACTTTTCAATGTGCAACTTACTAACTAGGTCGAGTAATCGAGTCGTTCCGGTAAAAAATTAGCATCTATGAAAATCCCCTTGTTCCATATTTGGCCTATATCTATGCTGATAAATACAATATAGTAAATGAGTTCCGGATATATTTTTCAGGCTAGAGGAGTGAATTATTTTCTTTCTTCCACCTACGTGTGTATTCATCTGTGACGGAGTTACGCGTATGGCCGTATCTGAGTATCAACCGACGAAAGTGTGTAGCACAATACGGTACAGTACAATTCAGCGAGCCCCTAATTCTTAGCTCCTAACGCGTGAGAGTGAAAGCCAGATAGCATTGTGATTTAAAGTTAACGATCAAAGCAAACACGTACGAGGATTAACGGACTAGTTATGTTGAAATGGTCTTCGCATACTCAATTCCATGTCGGTAAATTCAAACAGTTATCTTTCTAGATTTAAAAACTAACATAGTTCCGAACCGTCCCGAGATTAGTACACAGATGTTTCTATCAGTGAGTTTCGCTTACTTTAATTTTGTACTTACCGGTCTCTTGAAAAAAGAAAGACCTTAGGGTATTACAACGGAAGCCTTCAATCATCATCCTTAAATCCAGTTACTATATATATATATATATATATATATATATATATAATATATATATATATATATACATACATTTCACACATATCTAAATCCAATCTTTCACTTTGGTGAGAAAACACCTCCGCCAGGAGAAGGCAGTGAGTTTCCAATTTGACGGTGAAACTGAATAAACTTGTCTGGGTATCTATCCATTCTGTCGGCACGTACTTGGTAATTACTCCTAATTCAACTATCAATTTTCCGTTNTGAGCTAGACAACAAACTAGATTTTGCTTGCCTCCTGCCGCGAACGAAATCCCACGCAAAAGGTTACTTCAACACAACAGAAGCCCAAACTCGGAGGTATCTTTATCTAATTATCTTACTGTTCCTACTCCAGTCTCTGTGTGCGGTGCAATATCTGTTCATTGAAACACAAACCTGCTGCCGTAGACGCAATTAAACTCAGGTAATTCAGTCCCGATTGCGCTCGTGTGCGGCTCACAGGAGGATATTGCGCTCATTCATTAACTGATTCCAAAAGAACAGTAATTGCATAATCTTGACAGTTCGGGTTTCCCTTCACACATAATTCACATATCAGATAGCCCTACAAAAACATCGCAGAACTAGCGTTGTAGAAGTCTGTATTTGGGGAAATCAGAGAGATCAGCAAATACATACATACATTTCGGTAGGTAAATGTAGCAAAAAGCGTAGTAGTCTCGGTGTACGTAACAGCCGAGNTTGACGACATACTGTCCGCCACGCATGCTACCTAGCTGGTAGGACGAGCATGTGTGAGTGGACGTTTGCCATGAAAAGCCACTGGTACAGGAATGGGTTTAGGCACCAAAAGATAGCAATTAAAAAGAACTCGTTCGTATTGTCTACTTGTCCTCCTCTTCTTGACCATGCATGATCATTCGCGTGAATTCTTTGTAATCAAAGTTGCCATCGGAGATTGGAGCACCGTGGAACAACTCGTCCACTTTCTCGTGAGTCCATCGATCGCCCATAGTAGTCATTAATTCGCGCAACTGATCTTCGGCGATTACACCTGAACAATAGAATGAAACAAGATGATCGTGTATTCAACCTTGAGTTTAGCGATCTATGGATCACGTCAATGACATAGAGGAAGGCAGAAAAGTATGAGGTTTAATGTTGCCCTAAGACATGCACTAAGATCTACTATTAGGATTATCTTTTCTTCAGCACACCGAACTATGAGGTTCCTTCTCGTTATCTGTCTTGTAATGAAAACAGATCGAATATATAAATGTGGATGAGATGTCAGAACAAATTACTTTATAGATAAATTTTTTTCTGATTCATCAATGTGCTATCATTCGTAAAACTATGACTTTTTATAGTGCGAAAAGTGATACTACTAAATGACTCTTAAAACCGACTAAAAATTGCACAAAAAACAGCAACCAAGGGCTAGTGATATTTTAAAATATGGCTACTTTTTTGTATAAAGGACCTCTCGACCAAAAACGAAAAGAGTTGTAAGAGAATATCGTGATGTTAGCAAACTTGGTATCTTGCCAAATACTACATGATTACTTCGATTGTATCTGTGCATTAGGCGGAATATAAAGAAAATCTTGGAAGCCACGTGACTACGAAAACCGTCAGTAACGTAGAACAGAGATGATCTTTAGGGTTGGTCAATCAACTAACTGAGACTCTCACATGGCATGACACAAAACTGTAGTTGCAGACAAGAACTGATGAGTACTTGCGCAGCTGTTTGGTATTAGACGCTTTATCTAATACTGCGGTTTTGTGAAAATCGCACCTAGTGTTTTTGGGTAGCGGTGAGCCCGGGGGAATCTGTGCTACATTGCGGCATGTGATAAAAACAGTTCCACCACTCAAGAACACCGACTACAGTTTCAATGAGCAAACATTGAGCAGAATATCTCCTGTGCCACGATTATTATTGCTAACTGAACCGCAAAACCAGAATGAAAACTCTCTCATTGTGTACTTCGATTTTCCTTGAGGGGTAAAAAACTTACCAGTTCCTTCTGGATCAAAGCAAGCAAACGCGTTTAAAATAGCTTCTTCCGGATCGCACCCCGTCATCTTATCACCAAACAGGGTTAGAAACATGGTGAAGTTAATTTGTCCCTTCGCCTGTGAGAGCATATCGTTTAGATACTCTTCGGTTGGTTCTTTGCCCAGTGATCGAAAAATTTCCTCCAAATCCGTCTGATCGATAATTCCATCCTTGGTAGAGTCGATCATCGAAAACGCTTCCTGAGGAGAGCATAGCAATAGTAAAAATCAGATGGTTTGGCCGCGCGATAAATCTGATGTGATGTGATGTGATCTGATGTGATCTCAAACTTACCCGTATGCTCGATCCTTCTTTCACCAAACAAAGTACGCCACGGAGCCTAAAAAACTGTGGTATATGCACATTTTCTACTCGCTCATTCGAAGTTTCACCAGCGCGAAACAGAATATATCACATCGAGGCACAATGTAAAACACTTCAACGAAATGTCACGTTGAGGCCGAAGGTGCTTTAGTCCTGTGGTAACTGCTTGAGCCCTTGTTTTGTGCGGTAAATCTCCTACCGCCATTCTCCATGTAACTGCCCGAATAGAAGCAGTGATCAACTATAGTCAACTCCTGGTCATTAGTCTTCATAGTGAGAGTAGCCGACATCCAGTCTTGCAGCACTACTTTATACGCTGAAGAAAAATCACTCACCGAATGGATCAAAAGAATGTTCTTTTCTTTACACGGCCATCAGACACCAATAGACAAGCGATGCTGTCTGTGTATCCTAACGCGAATGGCTTTTCTCCAGGTGCACAGTTAATACTGGTATTTTGGGGACGTTCAAATGTTGTCCGCGACGAAAAACCATTTCAGTGGTCAACCTTCAATTAGCGGCTACTGTTTAACTTATTAGGCCACCGTGTACCAACGGTGGCAATATCCATATTCTGAGTTGGGCTGGATAACAATCGCGTGAAGCGAATTCTCCCCTATTGTTATCTTCTTACTCCTTGCAAGGTCTAAATATGTTTCACTAAGAAATACTGCACCCGTGTCGCGATCGGGTCTCCTTGTTCTTTGACTCTTCGAAAAGTTTTCAATATTAAGTGGTTCATCTTGGCGTTGATCCGTTCGTAACATTCACTCTTCAACTACTTCTTAACGGCGGTGCAATAGCTTTTATTTTATTTTCCATCGTTATTGCCACCATTTTGAGTCTGTATAGCACACCTATTTGATCATTATCACAACGATGAAGTCAAGAGACCCCACAAAAAGCGCAAAGTCCTCTTTGCCATCATTATCGTCTTATTACGGCAAAATACTGGGAAGTGAACTTCACCGATCGCTGTCGAACTTTCAATGTATGTAAGTTGGTGAGAATATGTAAGGTAGAAAGGGATTGAGCTTATTTTGAGTGTGTGGGGAGTAAACCTCTATGGTCAACACATACCTTAAAGGTGTAAAATGTTGCTACAAGACTGGGTTGGTCCAGCACCCAACCTCACTCTGACTGGGGAATTAATAGATCAAGTGGACAAGGCTTGTTACTTGGGCAGCCGTATCTTACCCGGTGAACGCAACGCGGATGAAGTCGCATACAGAAGGCCACATTGGCATTTTCAACTTGAGACAACTGGAGCAAGTGGTCAACCTCCATAGATTACGTTAAGTGAGACGTGTTACACACGTCAGCAAACAGGTTGGAACGGCGCACGGTTTGCTAAGACAGATTGTGGATAGAAAAAAGTCAAGGGTGGCAAGAGGGTATGGAAACCCTAATCAGGAGAAGCGGTCATATAGGTCGCGTTAGGCTCCCTGTATGGGGACCTCGGGATCACTTTAAGCGAATATAATTGTGTCGTAAACAGTGACGTTCGTGCATCTCAATTTATTTGCAGTCTTGTTACATTGAGATTCTCCATTTTCCCTTCGGATCCACTTTCAACTTTCCCGTCTTCTTCTTACTGCTTCATCCAAATGGGAATCTAAAAGACACCAACCAAAACTGGTGCACGAAAGTGCATTGATAATGGTTGTACAAAATGGAACTGGTTAACACACAAGAACGAAATCCAACAGTACATAAATAATTGTTTAAGCATTCTGGTCTGAGAATTGATAACAAGAACGTCACTTCTCTCGCTTCGATGCCATAGTCTCCAGTATCTCAGTTTTTCAGACCTTAACGCGGACAGCGGGAAAAATTTGCCCTACCTAATCGCTCAGTGCACTTCCTCATGCCTCGTCTCTACGTCTTTTGTTGATCTCCACGCAGGTTCCTCCAGTCTGTAGCGATTACAGCAAACAAGTTGCGATGAGGTAGACGACAGCTGAGCACGCAAAATACGTGTCTCAACCAGAGATGCCTACTAATCTGAATTCGATATCCTAGAAAATTCATATCAGACAAACTCCCAAACACAACGGCTCAACACTTCCTAACTCGTTCGCTCCATCCTATGAGAGCCCAACTATGCAATCATCGGTAGTCGAAAACTAGTCATTGGATAGCTGCCAACCGCAAATTCAAGGTCTCAATCATAAAGCAGAACTGACGGAAACGTAGCATACCATATCCCACCTTTCAACTTCAGTGAAAAGTTGCGTCTACGCCAGAGGTATTACGGTATTGCGTATGCTGCTTGAGCCTTGGAATGCGTTGCGCTACCGTCATTGGCCACGCAACCACCTAAGTAGGAAAGGCAATCAATTACAACTAATTCCTAACTGTTGAACATCAGCGGCGGAGCAGACGACAAACAGTCTTGCAGCATAACTTTGCCCTTTTAAGGTGTTAGGCGCATACCGAATGACGTAGCAGTAACTGTTAGTCTATCAAGCGCGCTTTGTGCGTCTTTCATACAATCGAACAGACAGACGATATCATGAGCGTACATCAGGTCAAAAAGTTTTTCTCTAGTTACCCATGGAGAAATAAGGTACCTCTAACGAACACCGCTGCTGGTGACGAAGCGGCCCACTTAGTTCGTTATACACCCTTACTCAACTAGGTGGTAATGGCGCAGTGGTTTAGTCACTGTCATTATCGCCCGTTTCAATATCACGCCTAGCCTATCGGGGCCCTAAGTGGTTCGTTACTCGTCCCAGGTCTTAGGTTACCGGTTTCCAGCAGTGAACAGTAGGTATTCGTGACTATGAGGTTTACCCCGTCTGCTTTTCATTGCACCAAAGTGCGTGACAAACCAAAAAGTGAGTTCAACGAGCATAATAAGTGTGCTAGGCGGCTCTGCCGTCGTCCTGCCTGATCTATTAACACCTTGCCTTCGAAAGCCTCAGTATGGTCGGGGTGGGTGTCTGGGATTGTGACTGGTCACCATTCCCTTACACCTCGCGAAATGCTCCTCCATGACCAAGCGTCTCAAATAGCCTCTGCTGACGAAGCCTTACTCACTGCCTTCTCGTGGCAGAGGTGTTTTTTCCACCAAAGTGAGAGGACGAAAAGCCGACATCCGGGGCTATAAGCGGGTTGGTGAACCACTGGCAGTTCACCTAGGGGAGTTGGCTAAAAAGCGATTCCAAACCAACCGAGAAGAGGTGTACGAACCACACGCACACCCTCCTGATCGCGGCAGTGGTCACCGGTTCAATTGGGCACCTTGGACCTCCAAAGGACGTATGATCCGATGAACTGGATACCGGCCCCCAATGGACTGCGGATTCTGGGCTCTATCCTGTTGTCTTGCAGGTCTGGCTTTTTAGCCAAAGGCTTGGGGTGGGGACCCCGAGGCTATCCCCCTTTTTCGGCCGGGGCAAGCGGGAAGCAACATGCTCACACAACCTATGAACAAATTCTTAAGATTTCTTTTTGTTCATATGTTGTGGTACATTCGCCAGTTCTCCGTAATTGGTTACGTTTTGAATAATAATATAATATAATAAGCAAACCCATTAGGGCTTTGCCGTCAACTGGGTTGAAGGCTCCTTTCAGGGCAAGGAACACTGCAATCGTTGGTTGACGGTGGCTGTAACGTAGCTCGAGGACCCAAAGCTACGTAAAAATCTGATCAATACATCCCGGACCAGGCTGAAATCAGGCTTGCTGTACACGGATGTTG